CCCAACTCTCAACGATTCTGGGTAGCTCACAACAATCAAAGATATTACAATAAAACCAATAAAAAATAAAGATAAAAGATGGCAAGCGTGATAAAGCCAGGGGTCTCCCTCCCACTCCTGGAAGCCCTGGGTGGCTAAGCCTCCAACATAAAACGGTGCAAGGATGCTCACGCTAATCGGGCATCTAGCACGGAGTAATTTAGCTAGAATTTCTTTTACCTGGACTCGTCGTGTCACACATCCGGACGTCACCAGACCAGGCAGGGCTGGCTAAGCTCTGAAGCACCCGGCTGCTCGCACACCACGCATTTCTTCTCCAAGAACGCTCCGCTCCTCGGCTACTCAGCCACGGGAAGCCACACAGCGCCTGTTAATCTTGCCCCCGTGCAAACAGGAAACCCAGTATGAACAACGTCTCTCACTTATGGCGGAATCAATCCATGAAAGCCTCCTTTCCCTGGCGCACAGAAACCGGGAAACGAACCAAAGAGCGCGGGAGAAAACTCAAGGGGCGGCGCTAAGAGAAGCGGGGCGGGATTCATACGGACTAGCGGCGCCCCTTGAGGGAAGGCGGGGTTTGAAAGGACCCAGGAGAGCGGAAGCTTTCGGAGCTGCTAGTTTCTGGAAAAAGCAGGTATTTCTCACTGCTGGTCCTTCCTGGATCACAGAGGTTATGGGATTCCTCCCCCAAGGTTGAAGTGTTTAGAGACCCTTATGAATTTGTACGGATACCATGCGCATCCCCGTGAAATCAGCTTGTACGTTTGTAAGTAAAGCAAAAGGTACCTCCACGCTGGTCAGTGCATGCAATACTTGGAAGCATCATCTTGGGCAGTATTTCTCAGCCTTGGGAACTTTAACATGTGTGGACTTCAATTCCCAGCATGCTGGTTGGGGAATTCTGGGAGTTGTAGTCCACACATCTTAAAGTTCCCAAGGTTGAGAAACACTGCATTAAGCTAAAATCCAACAATGATTAACCTAGTTAACTTCATTTTCTAGGATTGCATAATACACTTATTGGTCTGAGTTCACACAACAGGCTAGCTGAGATGCTGCCATCTGGTTTGTGGTTGGAGTGTGTTGTGCAACTAGTGTTCCCCCCATAAGATTTAGTACTCTGCACTGTTGGAACTAAAACACACGCACACACAGATCCCTGGAGATAGAGTTTTTTTATTTTTTATTTTATTTATTTATTTATTTTAATGGTATTGGCTGAGCATGAAGAGGCTGGAGCCCTGAAAAGCAGAAGAGATGCAACTGTTCCCTGCGGGTAGACAGAAAGGATATTTGTGTAGAAACAATTGACTCATGAACTGTGCTTCCTCCAGCGATTGTAAATTAACAGCGTAAGAGAAGGCTGCCAAGATGTATCAATGCACCAAGAGTTACTTCTTCCTCCTCACCCAGGAAATGCTACAGAGGAGAAAGTGAGGGTACTGGTACCTTTACAATTAAGACCACTTAATGTTTTTATCATTCTAGCATACAGGACTTGGAATAATGGTCTTAAGCTATACAGCAGACTGCCTAATTAGAAAACGCTTCCTAACGCTAACAGCAGTACAGTAACAGAACTCTCTGGTGATCGGATGGGCTCCTCTGCATTGGTTGTATTCAGAGGCAGAGATAGGATCAAGGATATTTCAGTTCCTGCACTGAGTTAAGGGCCTCTTCCAGCTCTAGGATTCAGTAATCCAAGATTTTAGAGAACCACTCTGGGGACTGATGTTATTGCACCAGTGGCTCTGTGGATGGGCAAACCTAGCTGAGAACACAACCACCTTCCAAGCTTTGTCCACCCCAGCACCTACTAGAGCCCAACCTCTATAAATATGGAACTAAATCACTATAGAAGGCATAAAACACCACATTCACTACACGCACAAGATTTCTGATTTTTTGAAGTTTGAGTCTAATGGGAAATCTCATTGGTAAAATACATGATTTTTAGAATGCTTAAGCTCAAAAAACTCTGAAGGGAAATCTTGAACTGGTAGATGATATTGTTCTGGAATGAAGGTTTCATACTTACAATGATACCTGGCATAATTAGAAGGGGATCTCTCACTTAATCAGATCTTACTTTAAATAAGGGCACACAGAAATTGTGGCCTGAAAATGATTTAGCTTAGCATCCTTGTATGTGTAAAATGCAAAGCTTCTGATTCCTCTCATGAAGGGCAAAACTACAAAGGATGTTCAGTTGGGCAGAGTGAGAGTGTAATATTGTACTAGTAAAATATAGATACAAATGCTGTTCAGATTGAAGAGGGTGGGCCAGGAAATGATTTTTTACATATGTATCCCACACCCATATCTTTCTCTGAGAAGGAAAAGTTGCAATATTGTACCATGTATAGTTGATCCAAACAAATTTAACTCTTAATGCAAAAAGAAATATGAACTGCAATGAAAGAAAGAGTTATGTTGCCAACTAATACATTTTATCAGATAATTTCATACTTTCAAAATATGTAAGTGGCAGATGTAATACTTTAAGTCAAAAATTTAAAACTAGGGGCAATTTATACATTGATTTCACTTCTGATAAATTCACACTACTTGCTAAGGCTCACACAGACAATTTAATACATCGAGTTATCTGTATTTCTTAGGTGTATGCTCAATTACAAAACATACAAAGTTGTTTTTTTTATTTTTATAACTATATCCAGCAAAAGAAAAGTGATACTAATTATGTGCAGAATTTGCAGGTCAATTTAAGAACCAGTTAGGTATTTCAAAATATTCCTGTTGTATGTGATATGTTGTTTTCAGATATGATTTTAAAGAATATCTTATGATGCTACATATTAATTCAACCTCATCTTGCCAAATTATACCATCCTTTAAGGAGTAAATCATATTCCTCTGATGATTAATCAGAGGACACTTTTGTATGGCTACCAATTTAGCACCTAGCTGACCTTGATTCAGGTTGAATCCAGTTAATATTTCGGCAGGAAACTACCAAGAAATGTAGGCTTAGGCCTTAAACTAGGCTGGGAAATTGAAAAAATATCCAAGTGGAAGGCAATGGGAAACCATATGTACATTGTTACCAAGAAAATATGGACATGTCATCAGGAGTCAAGCTGGCCTCCAAGGAGACTTCACCAGCAACTATAAACATATTGCTGCTCAGCACAGAAGAAAACAAGGAAGATATCCTTTCTTATGAAAATGAAAACACTAAAAAAAGTAAACAAAGAGATACCCAACAACAACAAAAAACCCTGTTTATTTTTTCCAAAATATGGTGTTAACTAAAAGCTAAACAACCAGAAGATATAATTTTATACTAACTCATTTAACAGACACAAATTGTACCAAGTTATAACAGTGCAATATTAAACAGCACTATTTACATACTTATTTACAACCTCTGTCTTTATATAAGTTATTTAACCTATTTCTCAGGAAGTTCAACACATTTGGTGTTAGGAAATAAGATTCTAGGTAATCTATTCAATATAAAATGGTGAACAAAAATGTTAAAAGTATCCTGGACAAAATTTTTAGAGAGAAAAACAGGTGATTTAAAGGGAAGACATCATAACCAGTAGACATTTTTTTTTGTAAACAATTTACTTGATAAATGTGATGCAAACTAAAAAGAGGCAGACTTGTTTTCTTTCTAGTATGCATTCCAAAGACACAAATTACTATGAACTTTGAACTAAAAAGTAACTTCTTTAAAAATTTGAAGTGGAAATCAACAAAAAATGGCTGAATTCAGACATTATGCTTTGAAACCTCTAAAACAGCAAGTCCTTATCTTAGGGCCCAATGTTACTGGACTGAAAATCTAATTATCTCCTGCAAACATGGGCAAAGGTCACAGTCATAGAATTTCTAGGCTGCTACCTGTGGACCAAGATTTAGAAAGGCACCCTAAACCATGGATTTTTTGGGACTTTGCAATCTTCTCCTTTCCTTGATGAACCAGATTTGCTAACCAGAATTTCAAAGTAATCCTGATTAGCATTAATCACTGTTTTGTCAAAACATGCATGACAATAAACAATGGCTAAAGCAGGAAGTATTAATATGGAAATGGGGAAAGGAATAAACACATGACACATTTCTGATCATCTAAACCCATAGTTCAGAAGATCACTAATGTGACACCTAAAACTGAGTAACAATGTTGAAGACTGCTTCCATGAACTAAAACACCAAATTGATTATATAGCTGCTTGAAAATCAATTTTTTGTGCACATTTCCAAATTGTTCTTGGGTGGTTACAATTTTCATGATTTGTAAAACATTAAGAAAACAATTTTGGCAATTCCATGAGCCTAAAAATATGGGATGAATACTACGACCTATGCAATGGAAAGGATGTACAAATCCATTCCAAAAGCAAGTCAAAATGTGTTATGATTGAAGGGATTTTACTTCAGAAATAGTGTGGGTTTTTAATACAAATTTAAGTTGAACTTTTTGATTAATGTGACACGCCAAATAAATTTGTTCCAGCAAAAACACTGCTTATTTAACTGTACATAAAATAAACTATAATATTTACATATTATTCAAGTTACAGAATTTAACTTTACAATTGCTTTTTGTTTTTGGCAGATTCTGTTTAACAAAATGGAAATTGCATACTTGGAGAAACTTAATTTCCTTTGATATGGACTAAAGGATGTTCCATTCATGTACTTGCTGTTCATTCTACGCTGTTTTTTTTAAACAAATATTAACATTCATGTGTAAGATCTTATTGTTTCCTCTTGCGTTCAGATTCTAAGCAAAATTTTTCAAATGCTTCTTCAATTTCTGGATCCATCTCATCTTCTGCATCATCATCTTCATCATCAAAATATCTGCAACAAAATTCAAGTGTTAAATATACATTTTTCAAAATTCAAGTGTTAAACTTTAAGACAAACACCAATATTAATGTTATGGTTCTATATTTGTATAAGCTGAACATTGGCAATCTCCCACTGCAAACTAAGTCTAAATGGCTGAAATGCAAACAAGTTCACATTTATAAATGTTAGCAGCAGTTATTTGCAAGAATGGACAATTTAAATTCCCAGCTACAAAACAAGTCATCTTTCCAACAGGAAACCACCTATACTCTATCTGCTAAGGTCTCAGTTGCACATTCAAAGAAAAACAGAGAAATTTATGGGATCCCCCCCCCAAAAAAAATCAGGTAAGCAACTGAACAAGGGTGATAATCCTTGGTACAGGAAAAAAGGTAGAAACAATAATTTCAAAGTAGCTATTTACTATAATGCCTAAAATATTATGCAAATATTCTTTTCAAAAACAACAATTAGAAAAAATAGTTCTATAGGTCACTAAGGTGTTGATTCAATATTGTTATAATTTAGTAGCACATCAGAGTAAATAATGAAGTAAAATTGAAAGAGGTACTCAGATGCATATAAAAAGTTCATGAATAAAGTATTTTCAAAATGATATATTTGACAAGAATACTCTTGAAAAGTGATGCCCAATTCATGAATTTTAATGATCAAGCTAAAGTGATCCTGTCTGCATTACAAGTTTGACTAAAAGAAGAACTTACTGGTCTTCAGCTCCTGTTCCATTTTCTTCATACTCTTGAAACAAATCTTGCCTTTCAAGAAGTTCCTGATATTTCTCTTGGTAATCTATAATATCAGCATTTTTATGAAGTGCCACATCCAAGTTTATTTTATTTATTATATCTATTACTAAAGATATTCTACAAATAAATTTATAATAGATAGGCAAACATAATTTGTGTAACCTGCAACTGTATGGGCACCATTGAAATAATTTGCTTAAATATATCATTTTATTGTACTTTGTGTTTACTTTATGGTTCATTGTGCTTATTCTGAGCTTTCTTTTCCCCAGACTTTTCTTCAAATAACATTTGCACTCAAGCAGCATACCTCCCCATTAAAGAACTTGCAACGTATGAAGATATTCTCATTTCCAACAAAGGTAAAGGATTACAATGCACAAGAAAGTGGAAAGAGACAGTATGTGCTTTAAATGATTAGACAAAAGCAACTAAGTGCCTAAGCCAAGGAATACAACTGTGGAAAGTCATACAAAGAGAAAAGGGCTCCACTGAATGTAGGATGAGGGCATGGAATAAAGCCTGACAGCAATCATTGATTAAGTGCCATCAACCTGGTGCCAACTCTTAGCGACCACATACATGTAGTCCTGGTTTAGTGACTACCTTGTTTAGCGACCCTTCAGTTACGATGATGAAAAAGTAACTTTGTGACCAATCCTCACATTTATGACCTTCACAGGTCTGTAAAGCAAAGGAAAGATGAAGTCAGATGATAAGCAGAGTCATGGTTTCACTTAGTGACCTCTTCATTTAACAGCCGAGTTGCTGGTCCCAACTGTGGTCACTAAACAAGGACTACCTGTAGATGGATTATCTCCATGATGATCTGTCACAAAACTTCATATTTCTAGGTTTTGCTTATCTTTGCTAATAATTTTTCTACAAATGAGAGAAACAGCAATTGGTTCAATATGCTGTTGATGTGACTGGAGAAAATGAAACTATGTAGTGTAAGTGGCACTAGACTTCCATCTGAATGGATAGAAAGCATTTTCTAGAACTTTTAATGAAGTTCTGTCTTGGTGTTTTCTTCAGTAGCTATAAACTTTAAATTTAATTAGCCCCTACTTTAACTATTTTTTGCAAAGTAAATTGTTAGAACATACCTGGATCTGCTGCAGTGAAAGGCACACCCTCTGATGTGTAAAATGTTGGTTCATTCTAAAATTAAAATATGCTTTGTTTATTTATAAGTTACTATTTTTTAAACTTATATAAAATGTTTATATACGTTTCAGTAAAGTTATCTCAGGAATAATCTACGGAAGAGGAATGCTAGTATACTTTACCATGAAGTAGTTGGGATCATTTTCTGGAGTTGCTTCCCTGTATGTTGAAGTAATATGTACCCTTCCCCAATTACTTGACCGCAGTTCTACCAGTTTTAATAACATATGCTTTACATCTCTGTAACATATAAAAGTAGAAAATAAAAATCATTACATTGTTTACCGTCAGAATATACTCGAGTAATTTATTATAGCTGCTCAGAATGTAATAAAATGTAATGATAATTCATTGTCAAAGAATAATTAACTTTTGTTTTAATTTGATACCAGTATTCTCATATACATAAAAGGGACATTAAGTATATACATTGAACATGATACGTGACTTTGAAGAACCTACCCTGCTTAGGTTGGTTAAACACAGCTATTTAAATTTGGCTCTCTGTTGTTTTTGTCCTTGCTGTTCAGCTCAAGGACTCCAGCCACTTTCCTTATTACTCTCTAAGCGCACCACCTTCTCTGAAATGTTTGTGTAAGCATTTCCTTAACTCTGTAACCTTTATGGGAAAAGCAGCTCTGATCTTTCCTAATATCTATTATAGGCAATGAATCATACATGATAATTTACTTTTCTAGGCAAGATCTAGGCAAGCGGTAGATTCTGGGGCACGTGCTAATTGCCACAACAAATATGAAAGAAGAAAGTGGACCTGCACAGACGCAGTGTGATCAGTGCAAGCCCAAGGACAAATGTTTCTTTGAGAAGTTCCTTTAAGGTTGCATTGCAAGTTATAGCCTATAGAGAATGGCACAGACGGCTTTGCTAGTAAGCACAAGACAGTTTGTCAAAGCTTATCTTGGTCCATCTGGTGCTTACTTTAGGTATAGCAATGAAAGAATAATGAATGATTATGGAATTAGAATGTAGAATTATTTACGAATATAAGAAGCTCTCTGGTAATTATTTGCTTTATTTATTAATCTAGAGGTTCCCAAACTTTCTCAGTTCATGGCACCCTTAGTGTTGCAAAGATATGATGTTGTACAACCCAACTTTGCAAATGACACTGCAAAAATTTAAAATATCCCGCAGCGCCCACTGAGATCACCAGGGTGCCTCAGTGCACAGTTGGTATTAATCTTAAAATAAATCTTATATTCTATTTGCTACTATTAAACTTATAGCATGGAAGAAAACCCACTGTTCTGTTTGTGAATAAAGCATGGAACAAATCCCATTACTCTGTGAGTAAAGCTAAATAAAATTATGCATAATATTATGTCACTATTCAAGATAACTTAAGGAGATTTTAAAGTAGGCAAAAGATGTCTACTTCCTAGAATTCTCAAAGATACTTGCCCTGGAGTTTTGTAATGTACATATTTAAACAAATGATAAGCAAATACAGTGGTACCTCTACTTATGAACTTAATCTGTTCCGTGACTCTGATCGCAAGGCGAGTTGGTCGCAAGTCGAGGTAAATTTTCCCATAAGGTTCAATGTAAATACGGTTAATCC